GTAGTACTAGCAGTCGCTAAGCCGCTGAGTGAGTTGGTCAGTCAATCAATGTCGGACGACCGTTAGTCGGATATTAAAGTATCAGCCACCACAACTAGATTGCAGCATCATTAACTATTATATCAAATTCTTAACGTTTTGTACGTCGAACCTATTTAAGGACCGACTTGAAAATAGAAGCCTCCACTGGTAAATACAAGCCTCCACTGTGAAACTACTCTACAAAAGAAAACATCCTGATGGGAGTTACACCTACATGGGGAAAAACTTAACAATTAGCGTTTTCAACAGAGAAGTTTCCGAAACGCCAGACGGCTAACCAAAATCAATGAACAACTTGAACGAAACTATAAAAGAACAATTTCCACTGAAAACTTCAAAGTAACGCAGGTAATGCCTTCGTCACATTGCTGTTACGAAAAGTCTTCATTAGGCGTTCCGAACCAAAAGCATTCATCACCATGGCGACGTTTGGTGCTCACGGGCCAGATCCAGGTATCATTCAATCTATTCATTTAACAAAAGACATTTTCAGCTGTAAGTCTCTCTTTTAAGATTTTATCTTCTTGAATTGCTCATCATAAATGTTTTGAGACACACAAAATAATATTCTAAGCAAGCCTTATTATTTTCTTTCCTTAAGTTAATTCATTTTTAAACAAAAACAAATACTTCTTTTCAATTTCACACCGAGCATGATTCCTTCTTTTTTCTTCACCTTATAAGGTTTTATTTTTATTTTTTTCCTATACGGGATATATTCCCATACTCATTTGAGAATAATAATGAGATCGCTCACAAACTGTACTAGCTTTTACACATTTTTATTGGTTCATTTCTTGCTTAACCCTTAGTCTATTTTTCCGATTCACTTAAATTTATCTAATAATTAGCAGGTCAATATTTCAACTAATCTAAACATTCCAAACAATTAGTTCTTGCCTGTCAGTTATAGAGGCACACACACATATACATATATATATATATATATATATATATATATATATATATATATATATATATATATATATATATATATATATATCAGTGGCTACTCAAGATCATCAGTGCTTGTCGGGCTCATTGCAATTTTTAATAAGCTAAATAATGCTAAAATGATTACTCCAAATATTCTTTTAAAACTCTGTGCATGAAATAAAAATATCACATCATGGTATTGTAATATTAATTGTAATAATTCTATAAAAAAAACATATATTTAATAAATATTTCAAGACATGTAATAAACATGAATGAGAACAAAGTCTTTGGTATGTTGGTCTGTTTATTGCTCCTTTCCACTTTTTACTATTTTTTTTTACAGGTTATCAAGTCAAGAGATAGGGAAAGTTATTGTAGTATCAGAAAGTAGAATTGTATATTTCACTCACTGAGGATTAGGATGCGGATAGACGTGATTACATTTTTTTCAAAAGTTAGTAAGTTAGGAGTTTATGTTTGGGTCTGTGTACGTGTTTATGCGTGTCTGTGGGCGTGTTTATATATTATATATATATATATATATATATATATATATATATATATATATATATATATATATCTGTGAATTTTTAGTTTAAGTTATTGAACGTTTATGATCAGTTCTGGTGACTGTTATCATATTTCTTCAACATATGACCAAGTGACACCTCACTTCAAACTTTAGCTTGAGGATTTATGGCTGCCACTTTCTTTGCCTTCTGCCGACTTTATGTTGGGTCATATTTAAAATTCTCCAATAGATACATTCCACTATAAACCTTATACTGAACAGAATAAAGTATCCAGAATGGTCATTTGAAAACCGAAAATACAATAAAAAAGTCTTCATGGACAAGACGAAATAAAAATCACAGGAGATTTTTAAAAAATTATTTATTAAATTAAAACAAGGAATACATTGACTATTAAGTATCTGTCCAGCTCGATATGATTACATCTACACAGCCGCATTAGGCATATCAATTATATATATATATATATATATATATATATATATATATATATATATATATTTATGATATTTCATAATAAAGAAAACAGAAATTTAAAAAAGGCAAAGAAAGAAATAAAGTATATATATATATATATATATATATATATATATATATATATAACTAATTAATTTTCTGGTCTTTTTTCTTTTTTTTGATAAATTCATAATAAAGAAAACAAAAAAAAGGCAAAGAAAGAAATGTATATATATATATATATATATATATATATATATATATATAATAAAATAATAAAATAATAATATATATATATATATAAAAATAATATATATATATATATATATATATATATATATATATATATATATATATATATATATATATATATTACGTAATTTCTTTCTTTGCCTTTTCTTTCTGTTTTCTTTATTATGACGAATATCAAAGAAATATATTTCGGTCAATATTTTGAGGTACGGAGTTGAAACAATTTTGCATCCAGCTGAAGTCAAGTATAAAAACGAGGCACTATGAAAGATATTCGTTGCTTTGAAATAGATATACTTGAAAGGTGACTAACTCGGGCTGACTCCGACAAGCCCGACCTCCGCTGTCACCACTGATATATATATATATATATATATATATATATATATATATACTGAGACAGTTTATTAATTTTCCAGCAAAGTTTTATTTTTTCCACAACTATTTCTTCTTCTTCTTCTTCTTCTTCTTATTATTATTATTATTATTATTATTATTATTATCATCTTTTTCATCTACTTCTTCTTTCACTTCTTCTTTTCTACTTCTTCCACATTTGCTCCTTGTTATTATTATTATTATTATTATTATTATTAAATCAACTAGTTATTTTTCATTTGGTTTTCATTTTTCCAAATATTTTTGAATTACAGATCATTTATTCCTAGTTTTCCTCGAAACAAACTCTGTTTTTCCTCCTTCTTCCACAGTTATATATATATATTCCTTCTTCTCTCCTCCCCCTCCTCTTTTCATTCCTTTTTCTTCTTATTCCCCTTCTCCTCATCCCCCTCCTTCCACATCAATTATTTATTTTTCTCTACTTCTTCTATACCATTTACCTTTACTTCTAACGCAACCACAAGTCCCCCTCCCTCTTAGATTGTGCCATAAATTTCTGTGCAACACAACAGGAAACGCAATACGAAAAGGAAATAATAAGATTTTATTTGAGAGGTGAGGAAATTGAAATACAAAAAAATCGTTTACAAAGAGAAGTGCGCTTATCGAACGGAGGCAAAAATAACGCAACACAAATTGGAGCGAAAATGAT